GGGGGGGGGGAAGTAATCTGGCGCAAGTGTTCAAACATTTCCACTCCTTGACTGTCGCTCTAGAGAGGGGTATGGAGCAGAGAAGAGTAAAACCAATCACAGCTCAAGTCCTGAGTCCTCTTGAGCAGTGGAACTTGCTCCACAGTCACAGCTCCCAGCACTCCCCACTGGTAGCGAGTCCAATTCCTTCGTGTGCAAGTCACATTGCCATTGAAAAAAATAAACCAACTAACCAAAGAACCTCTGTCAGGAAACAAATTCAAGTACCTGTTGCAGATCGGGCAAGTAAGGAAGACTGAACATTAGCTAGATTAACACTGGCAGAACTGCAATGTGAAGCTGTAATCTAAGAGACACGGCAATTCCTGACTGAGGCGCGACAGGGAAACGTTCCAGATAGTCAAATACTATCCCATATCTACAGGTACAAAACGCCTGGTTTGGTTTTGTTTTGTTTTTCTTTTATGAAATCTTCATAGCTGGCCAATTTAAAGCACAATGGATCCGAGCACATTATCATCTGAGGTTGTTCAATGCCTCTACTACTTCTCGCACTTTTTTTTTTAGGTTCTAGAAGTTACACCTTTTTAAGCGATCATCTTTGGTAGATGTTCATTTCCCTCGTCTTTCTTGTAAATCAAGTGCAGTTACAAAAAAAAAAGTTTTTTTGTTACTTAAATTAACCAAAAAATATAAAGTGTCCCAGTCTGAATTTACCTAAAGTTCAGAGACTCCTCCTTATCAGAGTAATATTTTCCGTCCTTGAAATGGTTAAGCTATTTTCCTTCCAATTCCTACCAAGAGGGAAATAAAAGGGCTTGTGTGTCTTTCTGGTAAAGACAGTCCAATAAACAGTCCAAAAAAAAAAAAAAAAAAAGTAGTAGTTTGTGGAATCAGGCACTGCTTCACTCCCACTGAATGTGATCTAGAGCGACCCCTTTAATACAGTGCCACATATCATATCCCTATGGGATTCTCTTGATCAGAGAGGAGAAAACGTCATTAGAAAGAGCAGTGCTGAAACAATGCACTTTTCTTGTTTTAAAAAGCCCTCAAATCTACGTCTGGGCACTTCTGTAACATAAAAACCCACTTTTCCACCTGGGTCAAGTGGACTGTTGGAGGGTGCACCTAGAATTAGTTTTCTCTGAAGTCACACAGTGCCACACACTCACCCTTGCACACACGCGCACACACACACACATGCACACCCCACATGCTGCTACAGTGTCTGTTTTAGTGTCACAGGCTGCATTCTCTGTTTGGAAGTAGCCCCTCTTCTCTTCATTTCTCGCTGAAGGCTGAAGACGACTATGTCAGGATATTGGAGATAAATTCATTGAAGCGTTTAGAGTACTGCTCTGGGTTCACGGTGGAGATCTCTGCCCCAGCCTGCAAGGCAGAGAGGAGAAACAAGTCACAACACCCTCCTGGAAGGGCAGACCTGCAGCACTGCGAAGGGTGGAGGCGGGAGGACAGCAGGGAGCGATCGTCTCAGCACAGCCTGTCTCTGCCAGGAAAGACCCATAAAAACTTGCAAGTTCTAGGAAAAAACAACATCCAGAGAGGTCTAGAGAGATCCCCAAGGAAACTGATTTTAGCTCCAGCTGGATCTTCTGCAGACCACTGAGTCAAAGCATTGGATTTGTTCCCTCATGGTTTTGAAGAGATTTGGGAGGAGCATGAAAAAATCCATGTCCCGCCAACCTGGGCTTTTTTCAAGCCCTTTTGGGAAGTTCAGGATTGCTGCCAGGGAACGGGACTGGCCCCAGGACGGGGAGCAGGGTAATACATCTGCCTGCAGCCAATCCATTCCTGCTCTGTGAGGCTGCTGGTGCCACACCAGGGAAATCGAGCACCTCCCAAACTGGGACATAAATACAAGTCATCTCCAACCAACCAGAGGGAAAAAGCCTTTCCAAGACAGTCTGAGCAGACAGTAAGTGAGGGAAGAGCTGTCCTTGGGCACAGGATCACTGAAGAATTTCCATACTGGTAGAAAAATCAGCGTCAGGAGACATCACACATACGCACGCAGGCACGTAGGCAAAGCAGAAGCCCCAAAGCCCATTCTCCCTGCGGGCAGCAGGCTGCTTACCCCATGTTTCACTGTTTTGGCAGCATGTGCAGCTTTCTTCTTCGCATCATATGGCGTAAGAATGTCTATAATGGCCATGAAGTACACTTCCTTCTTGGGGGCACCTAGCAAGGCAAGAGAGTCGCTAGCACACCCTGAGCTGTGAGCAAAGCCCGGCTGCACCCCCCCCTCCTTCAGAAACACGCGGCAGATTGGGTTTGATGCAACTAGCAGAGAAAGCCAGGCAGCTGGAGGCTGCAGAGGGCAGAGAAGAATGACTGGAAACAGCACACCAGAGGCCCACACGCTCTCTGAAACACGCCACTGCTCTCCAAGCGCCGCTTCCACCCCTTCCAACGCACACCATCCGCAGCGAGGGACTGCTCAGCAAAGGAGAGACACTGGGCAGGGTCTCTCTCCCTGCTGACAGCCCTCCCACTCCGTTTAGCCCAGCCAGACCACAGGACACCTCCTCCTCTGAGCTCCAGGCCTTCTTGGGGGCAATATTCCATGATACTCACTTTCGTGGCTTTTCATGGCGTAGACGTCGACGGAAGGATCAAACTCTCCAGGCCCAAAGAAGCGAGGGTAGTTGAGGAGATTGCCGGGGCTGTCAGGGGGTGTGCCGTAGGAGGAAATGGGGTTGCCTCCGAGACCGTCGTTCTCACACTCCTCATCCTCTGCCCGATCCTCCACTTCCATCTCTTCCTGCTCTGCTCGGTCAACATCGTGGATCCCAACCAGCAAGCTGTAGTCCATAATCTTCAGCTGAGCTAAAAACTGAGAGAAAGAGATGAGTGAGAACGGCAGCATCCACGTCAGATGAGAAATCCTCCTCCTACTCTGCCAGTATCTTCCTAAGAAAGGGCTGTAGTGAGAGCTAAACCCTTATCAGACTCCAGAGAACCAACGAGCTCAAATGCCCACTGCCATCAGCATAACCCTGACTGTGCTCGCCTCAGGGATCCAGGACTGACCCGCTTTTCTCTCCCTGCTGCACCCAGCGAGCCAGAGGCCACAGTGAGGACGCTGTTACGGGTGGCAGAGTCAAAGCTCTCCCCCAGGAAACTCTACCTCCACGTCCCGCTTCAGCTTTTCAAGGAAGTTCTTTTTACTCTCTTCTCCAACATGCAGCTTCTGACCCTCATTCAAGAAGTCGTTGTCCTTGAACGTTGGTAGATCCTTGGCCTGCAACAAAAAACCTGTGTCAAATTCTCCAAACCCCTGCTTCCCGGGGGAGGGCTGTACGCTGATCCCTTAGCAGTGTGTTGGTTACACTGAGACTCTGATCGAGTGTGGGGTTGCACCAGGATCTTTGGCCTGTTTGTAGGATGAAGTGGCTCATCCTATGCAGTAAGTACAAAAATGGCATCAGGCACAGCACAGTATTTGTCAATGAATCCACGTGCTGAGCTGTACATAGTGGGAAACTGAAGGGAGACACAGAGAACAACTCAACTTTAAAGACTGCCGGGAAGATGTGCTGCAGGCTGAAAGCTTGACAGCTGGGCTCCAGCCAGAGATGGTCCAACCAGCTCCCAGAATAGAAAAGAAATGCATTTCTTTGGCTTCTGACTGGGGGGGGGAAAGGGTGGGGGCTTGAAAAAAATTGCTTCTCTCCCTAAAGGCTTGAGGAAAAACTTAAAACCACTGCTTTTTGAGGAATCTGTTTGCAGCAGGCCCCGAGGATTTCTCAGAGATATGGAAGAACATACAAGCCCTTTGTGCAGCTGGGAATTAAATGATTTTGTTCTTAGAATGACATGTGAGTGTGTGGTAGCTTTATCTAGATCTAATATGAATGGTCTGAGACAAACTGCACAAGCAGAAAAAGCTAGAGAGTAAACAGCCAGCAAGCTGGGGATGCTTGGGCACGAGGAAGCCGTGCCCTGATGCCAGAGCATTCAATGTAAATGGGAGTCCCTTGGCTCGTGCCAGAGATCTAATCTTAGGGCAGGCTGGAGTAGACTTACTCTGCAGTCCCAAACCTGAAAATCCCATGTGCAAAACATGTAGTACCACGAGTTACTGCTGTGACTTCAACAGGACTTTTCATGACACCATCACAGCCAAAGTTCTGCAGGGGCAGGATTCTGAGTCATAGGTTTCCCTACTGGCACCAGAAACCAAACTTTACAAACATGCTGAGATTTGCCAAGAATCTGAGAGGAGCTGGTCTGGTTTATAAAAGCATCTGTTGCACACGCTAACTGCTGACCTGGCTCAGTTTGGTACACAGGGAGCACTATGGAGAAATCCTTCCATCAAGACACCACTGCACTAATGTGGGGTTTGGTACTTGTGGGATTGTCCCCCAAGAAGTTCCCCCCACTCCTGGTAGTGTCAACATAACAGAGCAGGGCAGGGCAGCACCAGATGTGCACCATCTCCTCCTGAGCAGTTACTGGGCACAGCCTGAAAGGTGGGACAGAAACAGGTTATTGCTGAGGGCCCACTTAACATTCCCTGCTCAGTATCCCTCTGGAAAAGGGAAATCAGTTGGATCCCATCTGCTTCCAACCACCTGGAGGAAGGAAAGGCTGGCCAGGGGTGGTCCATACCTTCTCTTTATCGCTTGCTTCCCTGGATACCGTTGAGCCCTGATAAAAGAATAAAGAGCATTGCTGCACTATGTGCCATATTCCCGCGGAATTCATAGACACCATTTAATTCCTCCATGCAGAAAAATAATGAAAGGTGTTTTTCAAATCAGTGCTTGAACCCTTTCTCATGTCCGAGATAGACTTACAGATCTATGGGGTGTAGCGTAAGCCACTTGGGATAGGGAATGCAACAACACTTGAGCTTCAAGTGCAGCCCCATCCAGAGCCCCCAAAACCAAATCCCCTCAACAAAAAGCAAAGCCCAGGAACTCGTTAAGTAGGTGTTACATAGACCAACTTCTCCCCCCTCCTGGAAAAGGAGCTCTTGGCTCCACGACTGGCCTCCCAACCCTCACCTTCAGGTCGTATTTCCGATGCACAGTCAGCCTGTGACTAAATACGTTTCTGGTAACCACCATGTAAGTCTCTACTCCGTCCACGGTGAGCCGGTACATGCCAAGGAACTGGGGCAGGAGGGTGTTCCCATGACACTCCACTATGAACTGGAGGAGAGTGGGGAAGGGAGGGCACAGAAAGACAGTATTGTCACACAAAACCTAGCTCTGACAGAACACAAGCTCAGCAAGGTGATAGCGAAGCCTCCAGTTCCAGCCACCTGACACCGATGTGAAAGGAAAGGAGGCTTGCAAATGCTCCTAGGGTCTCAAGAAAAGCAAGTTAGGGCATTGTAAGAATCTTCCAGCCCTGAGCTGAGACGGAGGATCCCATCCCACAAGCACGTCCAGCCTGCTGTAACAGGCTAGGCGTGCACCTCCGCCACTCAGGCTCAGCGGGGCCAGTCTCTCGGTGGCACTGGCTAACTTCACTTCTCGTGGGTATGCGAGTGTGTCTGAAAGAGCAGATGGACTGGCAGATAATGGGGACCAGGGTAGAACATTTCCAGCTGTCCCACTTGGCCTCCCCTTCCTTGCTCCACGTAACCACCTCCTCCCTGGTCTCTCTGGAAAGTTTAATTCAGAGGATTGAGTTAGGAGCATGTTTACAGATCTCAGGTACCAGCGATCCATAATTCATTGATGTAAGGAACAGGGCTGAGCTGTGAAAGGGCTCAGCACCGTGAAGAAACAGGCAGCTGTGCCATAATTGGCTCTCAGATGCTAAGGAGCACTGTTTCCTTCTGCAAAAGCTATTTGCAAGCTCTGCCAGGTTGCACACTGTGAATCCAAGCTCCAGTTCCCCAGCAAATCACAACAAGATGCTCCCCAAGGTGTTTGCCACCTCCCCTCCCAGGGTTCCAGACTCACCGTACCTGATGGTACTTCTTTAAGATGTTGTGCATCTCTGCTACATCCTCACTCGACACTGCCTTAATGACAAACCTCCTGTCGTAGGTGGTGAGGAACCGGGCCCCACACCGGCCCTGGCTGTCACTGTTCACCGGGGCGCTTCGTGTCACCGAGTTCTGAGGAAAGCAGAACAAAAAAAAAGTGGGGAGGAGAGGCAGAAGCTGCCACCTCCCTGGAGAAAAAGAGCAGTCTTGGAAAGCAGGTGAGACAGGGGTGACCAGAGCCTGGCTCTGGAAGAACAGACACGCCTGGGACCTTGTGCTCCACCTTCGTGACTGTGACAGTGTCCTGGCCATTGGTAATCAAGGATCCTTGAGTGTTCAGCACGACTGAGGTTAACCCAATTGTTTAGAAGTCTGGACGTGGAGCTTTAGAGCTTCCATCTGGGCCTTCTATTTGTTTATGTGTTTTACTCCAACACCTGGCATGCATTTTTGAAGACTTTTTTTTTTACTAAGGGTTTTTTAAAGAGAGAGTATACACAGGCCAAGACTTCTTAGCATTTCCTCCTGGAAATTTAGGAACAGTTAGGGTATTTCCAAGGTTTAAGGAAAAACAGAACAGAATGAATGAAATGACCTGCCTCCTTTTCCATCAAAAAGCAGACTAAACTGGCAAGTCTGAACTGTTTGGAAATTCTTTACAGGTCATCCAGAAACCACAAGCTACCCTGGAGCCTCTGCTATTCTTACAATTAGACGAAAAAGATTGTGAGTATAAATAGCTTGGTTTTTCTTCCGACAACCAGCCGCATCTGTCTTTATATCCCTGTCTCCATCCTTAGCAACGAAACATTGCAGCTTCTTTTCATACTTGCAGCACAATCGGAAAATCCCATGCAAACGGCAGAGCTCTTTGTTCTGATGCCTCTCCCCAGGTAGGAGGACTTGCTGTGAGCCTCACCCCACCCTTAGAGCCACTGGCTCTTCACACCTTCCAGCCTAAGCCGAGCAGGTCACCAGTCTCCTGTGTGTTTCCTCCACCACTTCTCAGCAACTGCCTTCCGACTCCACCAGCCCAGCCACCCCTGTTTGTTCAGAAGCCATTTTGTCAACCAATAGTACAGGCTCTCACTAGCATTTCCTTGCCGCTGGTGCAAGCAGATGGGGAGAGGTGAGAGTTGTGCTCTGAAACACAGCAGTTCTGCCCCCTGGACAGTGGGCTTCAGCTCAAGGTAGATGTGTCTTTCAGGATCTCGGGGCTGGAGAACGCATTTCGTGCCGTATTTTTTTAGCTGCTGGTTAGAGGGTTCTCTCCTTCCCTCAGCTCTCTGAAGAGCAGACAGCAGAGGGAGCCTGCTCTTCTGCAGACGCAGGCAAGCAGAGCCTGCTGCGAAAGAGGGAATTTACCATGTCACGCTGCAAGTGAGCCGAGAGGTTTCCTTTCAGAATGAAGCATTTAAAGCTTTTAAAACTTTAATGAAGCAGGGGAAAAACTCTACTCCTGCCAAAGGCTTTAGAAATTGTCAGGAAAATAAAGGCCAAAAAAAAAAAAAACCAACCCAAACCCCTCACTTCTTGCTGACATTTGCAAATGAGTCTGTGCTACAAGGTTTAATCAACCCTCACCTCAAAACCACAGAGCTTTTCTGCTAGAGGAGATGGGAAGCAGAAATTGTGACCACATATGGACATTACCAAATTCACAGCCCTTAGGTTTACTTCGTTCCCTTCCTGTCACTCCCACCTCTTCCACAGTTCGGGTGTTATATTTAGCAGGCTGGCTCGATTCCCACTCAAGCCATCACATTTTACCCACCTGAATTTAGCTCAATGAATGTTTTCTGCTTTTTGTTCTAGCTGGACACTTTTAAAGAGCCAAACTGCTCTACCCCAGAGATGGGAGAAGTAATTCTTCAGAGCAACAGGTAAAGTGTAAATGATAAACTGGGTATTTAGAGCCAACAAGATATTGTGGGTGCTTCTATGTGAGTGACTTCACATGGTTCTCATAATTTCTTGAAAGAGACCGAGAAAAAAAATATTCTAAAATATACTATAGCGGATGCACTGGGAGAAAAAATAATTAGGAGCTAATGACTTCACCTCATGCGAGTACATTGCAGGTTATGGAGGAAGCCAGCACAGACTCATTCCCTGGTACAGGCAGCCCCAGGGGCAGGGTGTTGCTGGCCAGGCAGTCTCCTCAGGAGCCATACACAGCCTGGCATGGACTACTGTCAACAGAGCAGGAGGCAATGGTACTGCTGCTCCTGGCAAAACGCCATCGCTGCCTACAGAACAGGCCTGATGGCAGGAGGGGAAAAAATAAAAATAATAATCTAACAGGCATGTGCTCAAGAAAAGCATGGACTGAGCAGCCGTGTCCTGAAAATAAAAGAGATCTTCCATCACAAGCGGGAGAGATCTGTGTGCACAGCTCGTGGCTCGCAGGTAATTAGGAGGCACTGAGCACACGCAGGCACAAGAAGGCCACCTGCCCCCCGAGGCTGCACTGAGCTCTGGCTCCGACAGCAGACGGGCAGTCGCCCAGACCGGGGCTGCCACAGGCAGTGGCGAGGCAGCAGCAGCATTTACTGTTCCTCCTGGGGACGGCTGGCCCCTTGCAGAAGAAAAGCAAAGACGGCTGTCAGTTCTGCTCAAAAAATGTGTCTCACTTGGAACAAACACCCTCAGAGTGCCCAGCATGCTTGAGAACAGGCAGCAGAGTAGGATGGGCCCTGGCAGCCAGGAGAGAGGCAACTGAGACACGGTTACACAAAGAAGCAAAAAGCCCCGAACACCGATGCCAGTATCCTCAGAGGTCTCCTCGCAGAGGGACCCCCCTTGTCTGGGAACAAGAGGCAGAGGATGGGATGCAGGTGCTGCACATCTGCTCCTTGTCTCATCCCACACGAGAGCAAAAACTGGATCAAGTAGCTCCAGTGCCTCACCAGTGCAATAAGCCATGCAGCTGGAGTAAGAAAACAGATCTCTTCATTATATTAACCTCGAAAGAGGGTGAGATCAGGCAATAATTTAGACAGAATCAGGGAGAATTTTGACATGCTTGGGGAGGGCGTACACACAGTATGTGGAGGTGGGCACACAGACACTGCTAGAAGGAAGCAGTCTGGTGGGATTAGCAGGAACATCTCCTCTCCCCACAACACAGGCAGCAGGGAGCATGGCTGGGCTTGCACCTGAAAGCAGAGAAGGGAGAGAGCCAGAAGTGCCCCCCTGGGCTGGCAGATTCCAGAGAGTATTTTAGTTGAAGCCTTTGACCAGTCAGTGCTGGCACACGGCCAGCCTCTATCAACGGCAGCGGCGTGCCAAAGATACCGGGTTTAATTACCTAACACCCGGCCTGCTAAAGGCCACGCAGCTATCAAAGCCGGGCTTTTTCTGCACTGGCTTTTCCCTCATTTAAGAGGTCTCGAAGCAGCCTGCTACTACACATCTCCTGCGTGCCTAAGCCTAAGAGCTGTGTGTGGAAGGGTGGCCCTGCTGTAGCAGCAAGCGTTGCGACATCTCTCTTTTGCTGGATTTAAGCCCAGTGATACTAAGACAAGAAAACGTCTCTCCCCTCCAAGGCAAGTCTGAGCCTTAGGGGACAGGTCCTAAAGCAGCAGCTACCTTGATAAACCCAATTCAACAGCACCAATGCCTGGCGCACACACACTCGGTTAAAGAAGCGCCCGAATCTGTAAAAACACGACAGACTCATTTTCCTTGCAGATGTTCTGCACTAGATCATTGTTATCCTCCAGCTCCTGTGTGTCTGCAACCATCTGCTGCCTCCTATTTTGTGCCTGACTGTAAGCTCTCTGGAGCAGGGACCATCTTTCCGTTCTGCAGTTGCCCAGTGCTCAGCACTGTAAGATCAACTTCATTGCTGTGGGCCCTTAGGGTTATGGTAAAATCATTCAAGCCATGATTATAAACCCCTAAAAACTGACCACACAAGAATGTTGATATCATAGTTTCTCTGCCAGCTTGGTTATTCTGTCCTAGGGACAGGTGTTAGGAGGGCAGGGAGAGAAAAGACAGTACCTGGTAGTCTTGATCGTCAATCCCAAATCTTTCTCGGAGGTTTCGGAACACCAGTGGACAATACTCCTTAAATTTAAAGCGACTTGGCAAGTTCTCCCTAGGGCAAAGCAGAAAAGATATTCGTGTGCCATGATCAGCTTGTGAAATCCAACTCAATTCTTCTCCCACTTCACCGCTAACCCCCCAGGATATCCAAGCCCCTTCCTACCTTCAACGGTGAAATTCTGCAAGTATTTACTCTCATTAGGGTAGCTTGTTTCTCTGGATGCCTACAAAAGTTATCTGTTTATAGAAATGCTTGTAGGATTCAGCTTTTGACTAACAGGCTCTCTGGATGAGGATGTCTGTCTCACAGAACAATCTCCCCTGTCACAAGCACAGATTTGACAGAATAACTTCTCTCTTTCCTCCTCCTTTGTTGCTTTGTTCTGTTCAGTAACGCAGCTGCCCCCTGCAACACACTGTTACTGTTTAAGATGAAAAGCTGGAGGAAAGG